ACACAAATGTAAGCGCGAATTTAAGTGGGCAGAAGTCGCATACATAAACAATACAATAGAGGAGGGATTAAGAGCCAATAATACAATACCATTCTGGCGCCTTGTAAAGTCTAGGAGACGAGAGAATCTTGGAGTTCCGCCTCTCAAACTAAATGGTGCCCCAATGAACAACAGCATTGAGGAAGCTAAAATCCTGCTGGACCAATTTGTGTCAGTCTTAAACAAAGACACATCAGTACCAGAAACACCCCGTACTGCCAATGTAAAAAAAACCCTTGCCATCACCAAAAATCACTGTGAAAGGAGTAGCAAAACTACTCGCTAACCTTCAGACACACAAGGCTATAGGGCCAGATGGCATTCTAAACCAAATTTTTAAAAAAATGTGCAGACGAACTGGTCCCAGCTCTAACATACATTTTCCGGAAGTCTATAGCAACTGGAATACTACCAAAGGACTGTACAAGCGCCAACGTCTCACCTATATACAAGAAAGGGAATGTTCACCTACCAGTAAATTACCGACCTGTGTCATTAGCCTGTGTATCTTGTAAAGTTTTCGAACATATCCTCTGTAAACATTTGCTGGACCACCTAGACAAAAATAGGATTCTTACAAAACTCAACTCCGGATTTAGATCAGGATATTCTACAGAAACCCAACTAATCACCACCATGCACGACCTCCTGAAGAACCATGGCGAAGGGAATCCGACAGACACAATTGTTTTGGACTTCTCTAAGGCCTTTGATACAGTGTCCCATAATAAACTTCTCTTCAAGCTGAAAAACTACGGTATAGATGGAGAAATCCATCAGTGGTTAACATCCTTTCTGTGCAATCGTGACATGAGAGTGGTTGTGGACGGAGAACACTCAGTGAGCTCACCGGTACTATCAGGGGTCCCCCGGGGGACAGTTCTTGGACCCCTGCTGTTCCTCTGTCATATAAACGACCTCCCAGATGCTGTAACTTCACAGGTTCGCTTATTTGCAGAGACGACTGTCTTCTGTACCGGAAAATCAAAACATCCAAGGACACCACCAAATTACAAGATGATCTTTAAAAATTGGAAACCTGGGCCAAGGACTGGGGAATGTCGTTCAATGCCAAGAAATGCACAGTTTTGCGCATTGGAAGCAAAAAGCCACATTTCTACACAATTGGTGACCACATCCTTCAACAGACATCGGAAGCTCCGTACCTTGGCATTACTATTTCTGAGGACCTTAAATGGAAATCTAGCATCACAAAAACAGGGAAGGAACAAATTGTCCTCTATGCGTTATCATCAGGAATCTGAAACATTGTCCATCAGCATGCAGACGAACTGCCTATCTGTGTCTGGTTAGATCCATCCTTGAGTATGGAGCAACGATCTGGGACCCATTCATACAGGAGGACATTGCGAAACTCGAACGGGTCCAGAGGAGAGCTGCAAGGTTTATTGCCGGCGATTTTTGCTCACGAGAAGAGGGTTGTGACAGCAAAATGCTTAGGGACGCAGTCCTCTCACTGCTCACAGAACGTCGACGCATGTTACGTCTTGTGATATTCTATAAAGTGGTCGAGGGGAAAATACCATCATTGCCCCCTCAGGAATTTATTACACCAATTGGAAAAAAACGCAGGATTAAGACTCGAGATTTCAGTGACTTTGACCATCATTGCCCCCTCAGGAATTTATTACACCAATTGGAAAAAAACGCAGGATTAAGACTCGAGATTTCAGTGACTTTGACCATCAAAATCCTGTGGAGAAGTTCTCATTTAATAATTCCAAATGCTTTAAAATCCAAACGACTAAAACATCACTCTTTCGAAACTCGTTCTTTAACAAGACAACTTTAGACTGGAACCACCTACAAGACACATCAACGCATTGTACCACTATTGAGAGCTTGGGTTTTTTTGTTGGTTTTTATTTTTGTTGTTGTTTTTTATTTTGTTTTTAATTTTAAAGAAATTCAAACATATAAACCTGTAATTTTGTAATATAGTTAATGTCGTGTGATGCGTTACGATAGGAGTGCAGATACATTCGGATACGATCAACACGATTGCTACGACTGACCTCAATATATGATAAAACCTGATACAAACACTACGATTACTCCACCATTAAAACCACGATTCCAACCGTAGCACGAATCATGATAGCGGAAACCTAGCATTACATAATTAGATTAACCATGAGTGACATCCACTATATAAGGAATGCTTACTCTTTAAAGAAACTTAAAATCTTTGTTTCATATTGAGTAAATTATATTAACTGCATGTGGTTATCGACTTTTACTTAAGAAACATAATTATAATGCTGTGATTTTACCCATTAAAACATCTGTTGCGAACCAACCCAGGGTCAAATTCAGATGTCTAGAATTTACATAGCAGGCTTGGTTTTGTTTCCTAACTGTCCAGTAAGTATTGCTGTTAAATTTTGTTTCGGTCTTTATTTCTATCCATTTTAATTTTTTCCTATATTTTGTCACACTGATCCGCAGTGAATATTTGCTAGGCCGCTACAATCACTGATAAGGATGACATCGATGCGGCTTAATGGGCCAGAAATATTAACTTTTTTCCTGCGACAAATTAAATTCTAAAACATTTTTTTTATGTATTGGAAAAATAAATAAAGGCGTTTGACGTATTTGTAGGTAAAAATTATTTCCTATTTAGTGTAAATGGGTATTAAAATGACTAAAATGCAGCATTCTCTCCGAAGCAGTAACGTCTTATGTAAACAATGCACGCGCCATTCAGCCAATGATTGACGCCGCGTGCTGTGACAGCACGTGTTAAGGCAGTCATCTTTGATAGAGATATATTACAAAACTCGTAATTCTCTGTGAAACAGATTGATATTTTGTATCCCCAATTTGTATGTTTACCATTAGTAAAGTTAATTAAATGTAATATACTATTCAAAAAAAGTAGGGGATATTTGATTTTGGGGGCATAATACTAAAATATGCAAATGACTACGAAAAAAGTCACTATAGAACCTAACAGAAGAAACATTTCCAGTTACATGTGACGCCCAAACGCACCAATAGCTACCGCATGGAATGCAGGTGAGGCTTGGGATCATCATGGGGGTCCAACCCAAGATTTGCACGACTCTAACTTTGAATGTTACAGTCATTGTGGCATTGAATTCCAGGGTGGAAACATCAGTTTAATTGTTTTAGTGACCAGAAAACAAATTTTGATATGCGTCGGCTTACCCAAAATGAAAGGTTACGTGCCCTTGGCATGCTACAGATCGGCACAACACAGGCGGTTGTGGCGCGGACGATGAATGTTTCTCAGTCTGTCATAAGCAGGCTATGGTCCAGATACCGTGATACACAATCTGTACAGGACAGGCCACGCTCAGGTCGACCAAGGGCGACAACTCAAGCCCAGGATCGATTTATCCGTACCTTGGCCTTGAGAAATCGTGTCATCACAGCAAATCAGATCAGCGCTCGTCTTCAAACAGACACTGGTGTGAGAGTGAGTGGCCAGACGATTCGGAATCGACTGCATAGGGGTCACCTTCGCGCCCGACGTCCTGGCGTGATCCCTTGTTTGAGAGATCATCACATTCAGGCAAGACGTCGTTGGTGTAGGGATCGTCAACACTGGGATAATCGACGCTGGAGCAATGTGATGTTTTCAGATGAGTCAAGGTTCACTGTTGATTTTTTGGACAGACGTAGGAGGGTGTGGCGTCGTCGAAACGAGCGCTTCCAAGACGTTAACGTCATCAGACATGATCGATTTGGGGGTGGTTCTGTTATGGTGTGGGGAGGCATCACTGTTGCTGGAAGAACGGCTTTACATGTTGTTGCAGGGCGTGTTACAGGCCAGTACTACCGGGACAACATCTTGGCAGTCCATGTTGTGCCGTTCACACGACGTCATGGCCGCCGTTTCATCTTCCAGGATGACAACGCAAGATGTCACAGGGCCAGGATCGTTGCAGGTTACCTCCAACAACAGAACATCACCACATTACCTTGGCCAGCACTGAGTCCCGACCTCTCCCCCATCGAGCATGTCTGGGACATGCTTGGACAGAGGTTACGTCAACGTCAACAACGTACTGCCAATGTCCAAGAACTTGCTGCTGCGTTGCAACAGGAATGGGACAATCTGGACCAAAATGACCTTAGACGTCTCATTAGGAGTATGCCACGTCGGATCAATGCTTGTTTGGCAAACAGAGGAGGATTTACCCGTTACTGACTTGGTTGTGATGCTGTGGTAACTTTGCTGTTTGACCCCGGGTATCATTTTACCCTTATAATGGTCAGTCTGTGCCTTACTTAGTCTAACGATCATTTGGAATAAATCGATGAATGTGAACTTCATTTCATTTTGTCATTTGTTTCTTCGTCAGTTTCATTAGGTGACTTTAATAACACTTAAAAATCAAATATCCCCTACTTTTTTTGAATAGTATATATGATATTCTAATTAATTTAGAAAGCAGTGATCTAATTCTGTTATCTCATAAGGAAATGATACATCGGTTAGACCCCATGCTCGGTACTTACTATATCTGAATGCCAAACTCTTGAGTCTTTGAATAAAACACTTTCGTCTCCCCCAGACTAGATCCCGTATTCCAATACACGCAGCTGAAACTAGGTACCGAAATACAGCACACGAATAGTTATTGCAGAGGGTGACCTCTCAACAGTGTGTAATGCTAACAATTATTTAGCTTAATCTCTTCATTGTTTAATTGTAGGACAATATGTCAAAAAAGATACTACTTGGAGTGATTTTAACAACACTGGCTGTGAATGTAGCTATGATTTACTACCAGGTGTTGCCTGAATGGGGAAATTCTTTAAGTGTGACAAAACACAATTCTGTTTTGGATAATGACATCTCATATGACGTAATAGATGCCTACTATCAAAGTAACTATGGATCATGTCAGCATTCTGTAGTTAGAGAAAACAAGATAAATTGTAAAAAGCTTATTGAGAATGAAACCATGATGACACAAATTATACCCGTTAATGAAAGCAGGATTTGTAATTTCACTAAAATTACAGAAAATTGTCAATTATTTCGCTATATTAACGGATATGACAATAAAGCTATTACAAAACTGGAAGAAGATTTCCCTTTAGCTTTTGGGATTCGTCTATATAATTCTCCGGAACAAGTAGAACAAATTTTAAGAATTATTTATCGTCCACATAATTTTTATTGTATACATGTTGATACTGGCAGTGATATTCACATATTTAATTCTTTAAAAGCAGTCGCCCGATGCTTTGAGAATGTGGTGGTTTTATCAAAAATACGAACATTGTATTCATCTATTAGACTTGTAGAAGCTGATTTATTGTGTATGAAAGAAGCGTTAAAATCGACAATTCAATGGAAATATTTTCTCAACATGGCTGGGGAAGAAGTGCCGCTTAAAACTAATCTTAAAATGGTTCAAATTTGCCGGCTGCTTCAAGGAAGAAATGAAATTGAATCGGAACCTGCGCCCCCTTTCGCCATACGCCGAATGAAGTGGGTGTATAATTTAACTGAATTCGAAATGATCAAAACAAAGGTTTTAAAAATGCCATTTACATTGAATGTTCGATTAAGGAAAGGGTGTGCTTATGGGACATTTGCTAGAAAATTTGTTCACTTTGTTTTCAAGAACGACATAGCAAATGATTTATTCGAGTTTTTAAAAGATACATACGCTCCTGAAGAGGTGTTTTTTAATACGCTAAACTCGGTTGATGGTGCGCCGGGTGGCTACAATGTTACCATTACGAATGCCAACAGAGATTTCCTATCTCGCTCAATTAAGTGGCAGTGGGACCGGCATTTTAAGTGTCCTGGAAAATTCCGCAGAAATATCTGTGTATTTAACAATAAGGCACTGCCGTGGCTGGTGAAACAACCCGAAATGATCGTCAATAAAATGGATGGGGATTATGATCAAGTGGTTATAGACTGTATGGAAGAATATCTACATAACAAAACATTGCAAGCTGGTGTTAATGGTTTCAATAAGACGCGTTATTTACAATATCCACATATCAAAGACTTGCATAAGAAGAATAAGAAGAACTTATGGGACAAGATCTAGTTCATAAATATGCCCGACTCCTTCCTTAAAAAAATGTGTCATTATTTTCCATAAAGCATATTCAAGAACAAAAAACACTCACATAAAGAATATCTTTGTCCATGCCTGAATGAAAATGTTTAGAACGGCCTATTGTGAAGTCAATAGAAACTAGTTCAAAAATTATTCATCCATTAAAAATCGCATTGTGGTTGTCAATAGTTAACTGTCCCTGCTGTTGGTCCACAGCGTTCTATCCTCGGTTGTTGTGTTGTTCTTAGTGTTTAAGGTGATATCGCAGACAAGTTGTCTTTTTTATTTTCATTATCTTCGCACGTGCAGGGATCTTTTTTGTGTGAGGAAACCGGAGTACCCGGAGTAAACCCACGAGGTTGAGAAGGCGCCCCTATCTCCAAGCCACATACGCTCACACCAGGGATCGAAACCACAACCGCAAGCCAGAGGTGACCGGCCCGCTAGAGGTCAAAGCGTGACACTCTAGACCACTAAGCCATCCTACCCCCACCCCCACCCCCACCCCCACTCCCACTATCTATCATCGGGCCACTCCTCTTTGTTATATATGTGAGGGCATACGTTTCGCTTCAGTACACTGCAGGGTGTATGCTCGAGTTCAATAGCCCGGATTAAGTAGAAAAGTAGGCATTAAACCCCATTAAGCAAAATAAGCACGTGCTTAGCACGTCATGGCAACGGGACGCCGCCACAGAATGTCTGCTTTGTTAGATGCCAAATTTAAAATATTTAAGCTAGGAAAGTTGATGATACGTTTGTTATACTAGTCAGGTCAATATATTATGGAAAATACCCCCTCAACCCCCCAAAAATTGCTACAAAAGGTTTCTCAACTGATTCTGTTAGGGTTTAGTGTACTTTATAACATACTAAAAGTTTACCAAAGTAGGACCCCGGAAAAGTCGGGTTATTTTTCAAGATGGCGTCAAAGATGGCCACCGAAACGTCCTAATGGTCATAAGTATGTAACTATCAACTCAAATTTAATGGTCTTGGGGTCTATTCCTTGGTTTTTGGGGACAAAGAAAACATCAAGATCATTAAAAATGTCAAAAATGGCCGCTAACACCTCCAAATGACCTCAAGTTCATAACTGTATTTTGACCTGACTATACTGTCAGATGTCCCAAAACCCCCGTCACCCCCGAAAAGAAACTGTACGCATAACCATTCCATTCAACGGCAAGATATCATACCAAATTAGGAGAATGTTCAAAATTGAGCGAGATAGGAAATCTCTGTTGGCATTCGTAATGGTAACATTGTATGATCTGTCGTAGGAATAATCAACTTTGTAGACTCCTCCTTTTGGTTGAATTGGGTTGGTCCGTGGTACTTCCCATTTGCCTTGAGTGTCTGTTTTAAGGTTCTGGATGTGGTTAATGTTGTTCCAATATTCACTGTCTTCAGCATTCTGCTAACTTCGTAAGATAGTTTACCATTGAACGGCAATACCACTCGGTTTTTCAGGTTCTGGGTTATCTTTTTTGGTAATATGGTTGACAAACTTTCGAGGGTAGTTGTTGAGGGTACAAAAGGCGTGTTGGAGGTGGTCAAGTTCTGCACTGGGGTAATCTGGTTCACATATATTGCGGGCTCTTCGGACTAAACAGGAAACTACGGATGATTTAACACTGGTTGGATGTGTGGAGTTAAAGTTGATGTATTGGTCCGTGTTGGTAGGTTTACGGTACACACTCTTTTTAATGGCATCATTACCTCTATCTAAAGATTCTTTACTGTAATTAAAAAGTTCAAATATGAAGTAAGCAGTATCACAATGAACAAACCCTGACAGTTTTTTCTGAAAAATTTGTTTATATTTAATATGCAAATTTTTACAGGAAATCTGTTAAGAAACCAGTTAGGTAGAGTATTCACATAAAATTGTAGGTGACGTGATGCAGTCAACCATAATATAAGATCATCAGTATTGATTAATAGATCAATTTATTAGTTCATTTTTTGAACATAAGTCTATTTATTCATGACTATGTCACGTCCAAATTAATACCAAGTCAACAATGAAATAAAACGATTTTCAACCAGGTTATTAACACATATCGATCATAAGAGTAGGATTGTTGAGAACATCTGGAGAAACATAATATCTATAGACTCACAGACGAATTACATTTTGCAAGAGATGGATAGAGAACAAGCTAAAAAGAAGAGCGATTTTTCGTACATTCAGGGGCCATAATCTAGGAAGTTATGGTCTGAATATCGACGGGTAATGGGGTATGTAGGATATAAAGATATATGTTAAGTTTAATCAAAATCGGATAAAAATTGTGACTTCTAGAGGGACCACAACCTTAGTAATACATACTTTTACACTATATGCGTACAAGGAGCAGTCATTTTTTCCAGCAGTTTGGGTCAGATATGTACGAAATTCAAACTCAACCTTTATTGAGGTGTATCGGTGATATATTTAAACGTTTTTTAAAATTAAATACAAAATGTGCCTTCTAGCGGGTCCACAAGCTAAAAATGTGATTTTTCGAACAATCAGGAGCCATAATCCAGGAAGTTATGTTCAGATATGCGCGATTATCGCAAGGAACCAAGATCGTTGTGATATAAACATTAATTTAAAGTTTCATCTAAATCAGATCAAAATTGTGGCCTCTAGAGGGTCCACAACCTTGATATATCATATATTTACACTATCTGCGCAGTTTTGGTCCAATTTTCTCGAAAGTCATTACGGTGTGGAATATTCAAACGCTTTTTTAAATCAGATAAAAAATTGGGAACTCTAGAGAGACTCCAAGCCAAAAATGCGATTTTTCGTACCATCAAGGGCCATAATTCAGGAAGTTATGATCCGATATGCGCGAATATCGAAAGGAACCGACATCTTTGGGTTATAAACATGTATGTCAAGTTTTGTCTAAATCGGATCAATATTGTGACCTCTTAGAGGGTCCACAACGTTGATATACGATATTTTTACACTATTTGCGGACGAGGGGCGGTCATTTTGTCTGGCAGTTTTGGTCCGATTTTCTCGACAACTATATACGTCCACATGAAAACGTGGGTGTATAGAAAAATCAACGCATAAAACATCTAAATTAGGTATGGAAATTCGCCCCGCCTTCAATATAATTATAATTCCACAGGTGAATGATAAACGCCCACCCCTTCCACATCTCGGCAAATGAAATTCCCGAACATAGGTGCACAGGAAGGTGGTCATTTTAAGTTACATTATCTTTAATTAATTCCTCCCCCTCCCCACCCCAATCTTGTAAGCCTGATATAAACCCTTTTCGCACAGACATGGACGACCCAGTTCTTTATATGCGATATTTTTGATACTATGCTTAATTAGATTATGATAACATCCTTTACAGTAAAATAATTGTATATTTTGCTTTTATTTTTAAGACATTTCTGTACTAGATCTTGTCTCATGGTTTCTTTTTATGCAAGTCTTTGATATGTGGATATTGTTATTAACTAACGTTGATATTTTGATTTCGTTTCTTAATTGATTTGATTGTTTCCGACAAAATGCAAATCACGAACCGTTAATTTTATCGAATCGATTGAATAATGCAGTCTTTTTAGCCAATGGTTATCACATCTGTTGCGTGCCAAACCAGTGTTTCGTACAGTAGTCTAACATTAAACAGGGGACTTGCATATCATGCCTGATTTTTGTCCTAACTGGAAGTATTACTGGTATAACATTTTTTATTCTATTCATTTAACTTCCACACCCTTTTTTTTATCCTAACGTGAACATAACAATTAAGAGGGTGTTTACAATCTGCACGGCAATGATCTAATTCTAATATACGTGATCTTAATTATTGAGTTCTAACGAGATCTTAATTATTGAGTTCTAATACGAGATCTTAATTATTTAATTCTAATATACGTGATCTTAATTATTGAGTTCTAAGGAGATCTTAATTATTGAGTTGTAATACGAGATCTTAATTTTCTAATTCTAATATGGGAGGTCTTAATTATTTAATTCTAACATGCGAGATCTTAATGATCTGAAACTAATATACGATATCTTAATTATTTCATGGGGAAATGGCACATTAATTCCCTGGCGGTTGCATGCTCAATACTTACAATGGATAAGTGCCGAATTATTGAGTCTTTGAATAAAACCATACCTAATTTAGTTTCAAATGGCGCAAAACATTTTATATGTACATAGCATGTGGAATGAATCCAACACGCGATGGTGTAATACTATTCAAAAAAAGTAGGGGATATTTGATTTTTAAGTGTTATTAAAGTCACCTAATGAAACTGACGAAGAAACAAATGACAAAATGAAATGAAGTTCACATTCATCGATTTATTCCAAATGATCGTTAGACTAAGTAAGGCACAGACTGACCATTATAAGGGTAAAATGATACCCGGGGTCAAACAGCAAAGTTACCACAGCATCACAACCAAGTCAGTAACGGGTAAATCCTCCTCTGTTTGCCAAACAAGCATTGATCCGACGTGGCATACTCCTAATGAGACGTCTAAGGTCATTTTGGTCCAGATTGTCCCATTCCTGTTGCAACGCAGCAGCAAGTTCTTGGACATTGGCAGGACGTTGTTGGCGTTGACGTAACCTCTGTCCAAGCATGTCCCAGACATGCTCGATGGGGGAGAGGTCGGGACTCAGTGCTGGCCAAGGTAATGTGGTGATGTTCTGTTGTTGGAGGTAACCTGTAACGATCCTGGCCCTGTGACATCTTGCGTTGTCATCCTGGAAGATGAAACGGCGGCCATGACGTCGTGCGAACGGCACAACATGGACTGCCAAGATGTTGTCCCGGTAGTACTGGCCTGTAACACGCCCTGCAACAACATGTAAAGCCGTTCTTCCAGCAACAGTGATGCCTCCCCACACCATAACAGAACCACCCCCAAATCGATCATGTCTGATGACGTTAACGTCTTGGAAGCGCTCGTTTCGACGACGCCACACCCTCCTTCGTCTGTCCAAAAAATCAACAGTGAACCTTGACTCATCTGAAAACATCACATTGCTCCAGCGTCGATTATCCCAGTGTTGACGATCCCTACACCAACGACGTCTTGCCTGAATGTGATGATCTCTCAAACAAGGGATCACGCGAGGACGTCGGGCGCGAAGGTGACTCCTATGCAGTCGATTCCGAATCGTCTGGCCACTCACTCTCACACCAGTGTCTGTTTGAAGACGAGCGCTGATCTGATTTGCTGTGATGACACGATTTCTCAAGGCCAAGGTACGGATAAATCGATCCTGGGCTTGAGTTGTCGCCCTTGGTCGACCTGAGCGTGGTCTGTCCTGTACAGATTGTGTATCACGGTATCTGGACCATAGCCTGCTTATGACAGACTGAGAAACATTCATCGTCCGCGCCACAACCGCCTGTGTTGTGCCGATCTGTAGCATGCCAAGGGCACGTAACCTTTCATTTTGGGTAAGCCGACGCATATCAAAATTTGTTTTCTGGTCACTAAAACAATTAAACTGATGTTTCCACCCTGGAATTCAATGCCACAATGACTGTAACATTCAAAGTCAGAGTCGTGCAAATCTTGGGTTGGACCCCCATGATGATCCCAAGCATCACCTGCATTCCATGCGGTAGCTATTGGTGCGTTTGGGCGTCACATGTAACTGGAAATGTTTCTTCTGTTAGGTTCTATAGTGACTTTTTTCGTAGTCATTTGCATATTTTAGTATTATGCCCCCAAAATCAAATATCCCCTACTTTTTTTGAATAGTATATATACTAGAGTAGTAATTATGCAATTATTCAATTTCCATGCGATCTATTTATTATTTAATTGGTTAATTTTAGGGAACTGTGTTCTAGAATGAAATATTTAGATGGGTGTTCTGTTGTTGTATTTCTAGATTACTTGAATACTACCAAGAATAATTTTGAGAAAAAATGATATATATTGTTTCCAAATATCTGTTATTAGGTGATATTTTATACGCGCTTGCGTTAGTTATTGGAATTAAGATAACAGTCATATTACAGGACGATATCCAAACTTAAGGAAGCTATTGTCATGTACAGTGCAGGATATGCTTACTCTTTATAAAGAACCCGATTCAGATTCTTGTTCTTTTAGAAGTTCTATCACACAATCTGGAGGTACAAATTACTCTCTCTCTACAAAACTTTAACTCTTGATTTATATTTTGTTAGTAACATATATAATACCAAACAATTCGTCCATATTTAATCGAATAAACCAATAATTTGGACATCTGTTGCGAAAATGTTTTGAACACCTTATATAGTGGAAAATTAACAGGCCTGTAAGTATTACTCTCTTTCTATACACATTATTTTTATCCTTAATTTGGACATATTTTTAAGAGCATGTGTTCGATCAGTATAGTGATATCTTATTTAAATCTTGCCTAAATTAATTGTTTAATTCTAATACACGAGATCTTAATTATTTAATTCTTGCCGACAATATCTTGATTATTTAATTCTTGCCGACAATATCTTAATTATTCAATTCTAATATGCGAGATCTTAATAATTTAAATCTTGCATAGACCAGGATAATGAAAAAGAAGTCAAAGGAAAAACTGCTTGGATACGATAATTACTTACTTCTATACATATCTACCATATCTAATTTAGTTTCAGCTAGCGCTACAATCTGATTAAAACACAGATCTTGTTCGTTTCGTTTTTATAGTTCAAAAAATTTCATTTTACTTGTCTTTACTAAACGAGTGGTTATAAAACCCGCGTGCTGGTTGATGTACGGGGATAAGCCAATGAAACGCTCTGTTGCAGTGAGTTATTGGCGTGCGATGCACGAAACTGTGAGTATTCTACTAGAAACATCAACGCTGATTAGTTAATTAAATGTCTGACATTATAAGGTCAAAAGTTGCTCGTATGACCCCTGGCACGACCTCCTACTACAACTTGTCAGATCTTCACGAAATATAGATCTGTATTTTAGTCAGATTGGGTGCGCTATAACTGATATAAGAGATATTCTCATACTAACATACATCATCATAATTAATTTAGCGACGAAATCTTAATTATCTAATGTTAACAGCTTTAATTATTTAATTTACCATGCGTTCTCTTTTTATTTAGTTCTTTAATTTTTAGGACGCAATGTTCAAGAATAAAATATTTAGAATGTTGTTAATACTGGTGTCTATATATGTGGTTGTGTTTTATTATAAAGTGTTGCCGGAATTATGGAAAAATTCCTTACGCGTGACAAAAAACAATTCCGTTTTGGATAATGACATCCCATATGACGTAATAGATGCCTACTATCAAAGTAACTATGGATCATGTCAGCATTCAGTAGTTAGAGAAAACAAGATAAATTGTAAAAAGCTTATTAAGAATGAAACCATGATGACACAAATTATACCCGTTAATGAAAGCAGGATTTGTAATTTAACTAAAATTACAGAAAATTGTCAATTATTTCGCCATATTAACGGATATGACGATAAAGTTATTACAAAACTGGAAGAAGATTTTCCTTTAGCTTTTGGGATTCGTCTACATAATTCTCCGGAACAAATAGAACAAATTTTAAGAATTATTTATCGTCCACATAATTTTTATTGTATACATGTTGATACTGGCAGTGATATTCACATATTTAATTCTTTAAAAGCAGTCGCCCGATGCTTTGAGAATGTGGTGGTTTTATCTAAAATACGAACATTGTATTCATCTATTAGACTTGTAGAAGCTGATTTATTGTGTATGAAAGAAGCGTTAAAATCGTCAATTCAATGGAAATATTTTCTCAACATGGCAGGGGAAGAAGTGCCGCTTAAAACTAATCTTGAAATAGTTCAAATTTGCCAGTTGCTACAAGGAAGAAATGATATTGAATCGGAACCAGCAACCCCTTTCGCCATAGCCCGAATAAAGTGGGAATTTAATGTCACTGAATTCCAAATGATAAAAACAAATGTTCTAAAAAAGCCATTTACAGGAAATTTTCTACTAAGGAAAGGGTGTGCTTATGGGACATTTGCTAGAAAATTTGTTCAGTTTGTTTTCAAGAACGACAAAGCAAATGATTTGTTCGAGTTTTTAAAAGATACATACGCCCCTGAAGAGGCATTTTTCAATACGCTAAACACGGTTGATGGTGCGCCGGGTGGTTATAATATTACCATTAAACATTTCAACAGAGATTTCCTATCACGCACATTATTATGGAGTTGGGGCGAGCCTATCAAGTGTCCTGGGAAATTTCGTAGGGCTGTTTGTGTATTTAACAATAAGGCACTGCCGTGGCTGGTGAAACAACCCGAGATGATCGTCAATAAAATGGATGGGAATTATGATCAAGTGGTTATAGACTGTATGGAAGAATATCTACGTAACAGAACATTGCAAGCTGATGTTACAGGTTTCAATAAGACGCGCTATTTGCAGTATCCACACATCAAAGACTTGCGTAATAAGAACTTATGGGAAAAGATCTAATACAGAAATATCTCCAAAATAAAAACAAAATGTACAATTATTTTACTATAAAAGATGATCATAATCTAATTAAGCCTACTATTGTACCAAATTTTTTTTATTAATATATAATATCGCACATAAAAAACATAGTTGTCCATGGCAATGCGAAAAAGGTTTATAATATCAGGGCCCTGTTTCTCGAAATCTTAACTAAAGATAAAATCCAAATTTTAGTAGATACTTCAATTTTGATTGGCTAAGCACTAATATTATCGAATCAAATTACTAAAATTTGGATTTTATCTTAATTAAAATTTTGTGATACAGGCCCCAGGCATATAATGGTGGAGGGGAGGATTAATAGAAGACAATGTAACTTCAAATTGACTATGTACATGTTTACCTCTGGGCATTTTATTTGCCAAGCTCCGGAAATGTTGGGCGTTTGTCATTAATCCACCTGTGGAATTATAATTACATTGGTGGGTGGTGGGGCGAATTTCCATTCCTGGTATATAGATACATGTATTTTATGCGTCGATTTTATTTTATTAAACATACATTACGCAAATCCGCCAATTGCAGGTCTTTCTTTAGGCCAGGAATGTTATCTAAATTATTAATTAGACATTAATTAACTTATCAAGGCCATAATCAACTCTCGATGAAACACTGGTTGTATGTGTGGAGTTAAAGTTGATGTATTGGTTCGTGTGGGTAGGTTTACGGTACACACTCTTTTTAATGGCATTATTACCTCTATGGACATGACCATCTAGGAAGAGGAACGATTTCATGACCCTTTTCTCCATAGTAAACTTAATCTTCGGGTGCTGGTTGTTGACGTGGTCAAGAAGAACTGCTGGGTCATCTTCTTCCTCCAGAATGACGAAGGTATTATGATCCAAGAATTCTGCGGCTCTGTGCATTTCAAATTTACTTATACCACCTGATCCTAAAGATTCTTTACTGTAATTAAAAAGTTCAAATATGAAGTAAGCAGTATCACAATGAACAAACCCTGACAGTTTTTCTGAAAAATTTGTTTATATTTAATATGCAAATTTTTACAGGAAATCTGTCAAGAAACCAGTTAGGTAGAGTATTCACATAAAATTGCAGGTGACGTGACGTAGTCAACCATAATATAAGATCATCAGTATTGATTAATAGATCAATTTATTAGTTCATTTTTTGAACATAAGTCTATTTATTCATGACTATGTCACGTCCAAATTAATAACAAGACAACAATGAAATAAAACAATTTTCAGCCACGTTATTAACACATATCGATCATACGAGTAGGATTTGTTACATAGTGGCAGATGTTATAGGCGCTTCCTACCATCTTGACACGTGAAAGTGATTTTAATATCAGCATATCAACCTGTTCGCTATCGACACCCCTGGAGGTCTTGGTAGCATTCCTTATGTCATTATGTAACCTTAACTTGTTGGCATGTTTTATTTAACTTTCTTTGTCTGATAAACCTGATATGATACATGATACATTAGCCAGATGTCTAATAAGATCCTTTGTCTGGAAAGGTTTATAAACCCAGAATGGAAACGACATCGTCAGTCGTAGGCTAGGCGAGTGCGACTAGAAATTAAATCCAGGCCACGCAGGTCTGGAGTTAAGACCGGACAACGGTCATGTAATGTAAGTTAATTGGGAGTTGGCAGACTCGTGCCTAGCCATGCTAGGGCCATGGCTCCCTCAACACAAGCTAATTACAGAGTCTTAAGTTTTGTACATAATATGTTAGAAGAAGAATAAAAGTATTATAAGATGCTAAACTAGTCTTGTCATCTGAACCTGATTAAAGCCCCAATACTGTAACAGATTGTTGAGAACATCTGGAGAAACATAATATCTATAGATTCACAGACGTATTACTCGCCCGAAAACCTGTCAAAAGAATCAAAATATTTAATATATTAATAACCACCGGTTGCCAGGCACGATACGCCAACAACATGGATAGAGAACAAGCTAAAAAGAAGAGCGATTTTTCGTATATTTAGGGTCCATAATCAAGGAAGTTATGGTCTGAAATGCGCGAATATCGACGGGTAATGGGGTATGTAGGATATAAAGATATATTTTAAGTTTCATCAAAATCGGATAAAAATTGTGACTTCTAGAGGGACCACAACCTTAGTAATACATACTTTTACACTATTTGCGTACAAGGAGCAGCCATTTTTTCCAGCAGTTTGGGTCAGATATGTACGAAATTCAAACTCAACCTTTATTGAGGTGTATCGGTGATATGCTAAAACGTTTTTTTTTAAATTGAATACAAATTGTGACTTCTAGCGGGTCCACAAGCTAAAAATGTGATTTTTCGAACAATCAGGAGCCATAATCCAAGAAGTTGTGTTCAGATATGCGCGATTATCACAAGAAACCAAGATTGTTGCGAAATAAACATTAATTTAAAGTTTCATCAAATTCAGATCAAAATTGTGGCCTCTAGAGTGTCCACAACCTTGATATATCATATATTTACACTATCTGCGTAAGAGGGCGGCCATTTTGTCCGGCAGTTTTGGTCCAATTTTCACGAAAGTCATACTCTACCCTCATTAGGCTGTAACGGTGAAATATTCAACGCTTTTTTTTAAATCAGATAAAAAAAATGGGAACTCTAGTGAGACTCCAAGCCAAAAACGCGATTTTTCGTACCATCAAGGGCCATAATTCAGGAAGTTATGATCCGATATGCGCGAATATCGAAAGGAACCGACATGTTTGGGTAATAAACATGTATTTGTATCAAAATCGGATCAATAATTAATTCGTTAATACGAAATATTATTTCGTTAATACGAATTAGTTATTTCGTTTAAACGAATTAGTTATTTGGTTTAAACGAATTAGTTATTTGGTTTAAACGAATTAGTTATTTGGTTTAACCGAATTAGCTATTTCGTTTAAACGAATTAATTTTTTCGTTATAACGAATTAATTATTTCGTTTTAACGAATTAATATTTACGAAATAATTAATTTGTTATAACGAAATGATTAATTCGTTATAACGAAATAATTAATTCGATTAAACGAAATAATTAATTCGTTATAACGAAATAATTAATTCGATTAAACGAAATATTAATTCGTTTTAACGAAATATTAATTCGTTATAACGAAATAATTAATTCGTTATAACGAAATAATTAATTCGTTATAACGTAATTAATTCGTTATAACGAAATAATTAATTCGATTAAACGAAATATTAATTCGATAAAACGAAATATTAATTCGTTTTAAAGAAATAATTATTTCGTTATAACGAATTAATTATTTCGTTATAGCCAATTAATTATTTCGTTATAACCAATTAATTATTTCGTTATAACCAATTAATTATTTCGTTATAACCAATTAATTATTTCGTTTAAACGAATTAATTAATTTGATTAATCGAATTAATCCGCTTACGATTTAACACGTCGACTAATTACCCCAATGTTTCAAACACCGAATTTGAAGGGGAAAAAATGGAATTTCGACACAAGCTAGGTTATTTTGGGATTAACACATGGTTCAATTTTTATTTCAATAATTCGCTTGCGCGTAGGGATATTTAGCAGTGGGAAGAAACAGGTGGACCCGGAGAGAACCCACGGGGTTGGACAAACGACCCTGCTCCTTGTCACGTATAAGCCGTCAATTGAAACAACGCCACTTGATTCAGTGACAGACCTCGTGTTCACAAGTTTTTCATAATGGGGACCAATTGAGGGGTGGGGACTCTATGAAGCATTGGTGACATAAAGAGATGAACCGGGTTCCCGGGTTGCTCCTAACGTTATTCTGAAAACCTTATGAACACGAATGAGGATACACATTAAATCAGTTCTTTACTTCATATATTGGTGTGAAGCATTGGAGTTAATGAGAGAACGAACACGGTCGTTTCCTTCTGATCCAGAGACCCAATCCCTCAACATTATCCCCATTAGGAAAACATTGTGAACCCGATAGAAGCAATAGTTTTTAACATATGTTTTAGGGTATTAACCATTGGGTTCACAAGCTCATGTGGGTAAGACTAACACGCTACCTCGCTAGCTTGGAGGTCGCGGGTTCGCTCCCGTGGCTGGCCGAGAAAGTTCATCTGGTTTTTGTCAGTGATGCAGGGCGGAGGGCCAGACAAGAAGAGCTGTCAAGAAAGTTTATCTGGTTTTTGTCAGTGATGCAGGACAGAGGGCCTGACAAAGAGTGCTGTCAAGTTCGGATTGGACCAACAACCGATGTCCCGTGTACACCTCAATGCTCCAAACACCCAATTTGAAAATATAGCATGTTAAAAAAAACAATCGTGGTGTCTATCTTTACCGATATGCGGGCGGTAACCCTAGAACTGCGAAACAAACTAGGTCATTTCGAGACTAACACTTGGTTCAGTTTTATTTTAATACTTCGCGTTTGGTTGGATAGGGGGCTGGGGGTATTTAACAGTGGGGGGAAACAGGTGAATGCGGTGTAGACCTACGATGTTGGACAGGCAACCACACTCCATGTCACGTACAAGCGGTCAATCGAAACAACACCACTTGACTCAATTACAGACCGCATGGTTTCACGCGCACCACTAGACCACCCAACCCGCATTTCGCTGTAACTGCAAGTCACAGAACACTGAAAAATCGATAGGGTTCATACTCTTATGAAATGAAATGAAATAGGGTTTAACGTCCTACTGTTCTGCTTTGACTGGGCTATTGAAGACTGGGCTGCTTCATGGAGTCTCCACCTCTTACATGGTCCTCATTACGAAAACCTTGTGAACACGAGGTCTGTCATTGAGTCAAGTGGCGTTGTTTCAATTGACGCCTTCTACGTGACAAGGAGCAGGGTAGCTGGTCCAACCTCGTGGGTTCTCTCGGGGTCCACCTGCCCCCCCCCCACTGCTAAATACCCTACGCACAAGCGAAGTATTGAATTAAAATTGAAATTGAACCACGTGCACTGAAAAAAAAACTTGTGTTGGATCTCAACACAAGTACTTGTGTGAAAATTATTCTACACAAGTTATGTGTTGTTTTGCATTGCATTATCACAAACTTGTGTTCTTTTTAATGCATTAACACAAATCTTGTGTTTTTTCCATATAATTAACACAAGTAATGTGTACCGTCAACAAATATTTTTTTTTTTAAATTTGAACTCCATACAAAGTCTTAATCCGGGGTCCACAAGTAAGAGAAAGGTATTTTTTACTCAGACAATATAGCCAGACAGACTTGAATGCTAATTGGTGTTAAGATGTCTGTAGTGAAAATAAAGTTGGGCCCAATAAACTGGTAGATCAAAGGCCTGTTGAGCGCTCATGCCCGGTGTGATTTTAACAATTGACTCCAAATGCGTTGACAAGAAAATAAGTAAAACTGTTATTGAATGTGATTGGTTGATAAAATCAACGTACTATAGGCTACATTTTGTCTGCGATATCATCTCGGTGGAAGCGGACATTAAATGAAGTGATTTCACACAATTAATTTAACATTTAACAACGTGCTGAAATGATTTTGGAGCAGTGATATGTTTGACAAATGTAAGCTAATGGTCTCATAGAATACAAGACCGCAGGTTTGTGAATATTTATATATAAAAAATAATACCATGTATGTAATTTAGCATCGATATTGTTTCTCTGTATAATGTTAGTATTTTGTTCCTTAAAAAAAACTCCAACAATTTAAACCGGAAGTTCATGTTTGAAATATGGCGCGGTCAGGAAAAAAATTTCGGCATGTTATTATCAAATCTGTTCAATTTTTCTGAAATCATGCTTAATTAACATTAGTTGTTCGGCGCTACGATGTTGTTCAAATACTTACATTACAGAATCACATTATGATTAAAGCAGAAACGGCTCGACTTGAACCAGCAGGTAAGAATCTGTTTTGAAATTATATCTTGGGAGGTTGGATTGGCGTTGGAGACCCGATTGGCGGCCATTTTGATTCTTGTTTCATGATTTTTTTATATTATAACGATTTTGCCAAGAGTAGACATAAACGCGGGCACAGACTAGAAAAAAATCTTTTTAAACTTTTGTGTTAGTTGAATTGTAATCTAATTTATGTTTAAAAAAAACAACCTTAAATCTAATAAGCAGACGGAAGATATGGACGAACAACAAGAAGAAGTTATGGAGGTCCCAACAACTGAACCTATGGAAGTAGAAGAATCGTTTACAGCCAAAACCCGATACGATGTGTCAGTTCCGGTCATGGAGTCCTCCATCTCAGACGATGCCGACGTTAGTGTCTTCTGCGACGAAGAACCCGTAGTGGTGTATACGCAGGTAGAAGCTGGTTCCTCCCGTGGCAAGTCCAAGTTGTTTGACAACCAAGGGTTTAGTTATACAATTAAGGTAGGGTGATTTATTTTACCTAGTTAACTACCTTGTATAGAAATGTATTTCAGCTACAAAATGTAAAGATAATTAACTCTAGTTAACCTAGTTAACTCTATAATAATAAATGAATTTAATATATTTTAGACAAAGAAGAAAACTACGATTTGGAGGTGTTCCATCTTCACCCAGCAGAACCCGGTATAAACACGGCTACCAAGATAAAAGTTACAGTAGGTTTAAAAATTATATATCAATTAAATTAAAAATTTATATATGTGTGTAAATAAATAAAATATAAATAAACCAATAATATATTTGTAGTTTAATATGTTTTATCTTATCATTACAGGCAAAGCATGAAGCCAAAGGAAATGTTTTTACTAAGTCATGTTCCTCAATAGCGGAGAGAGTTTTATCCAGTGTCGGTTCTGCAGAAGAACCCATTCATAGCAGACCACCCATGGCAGCACTTGTAAGGTCGCTACAAAGAACCCGACAGACTCTGCGACCAAAAGATCCCACTGACGTGTCGTCAAGCGTAAGTATTCATGCAATTAAATACCCATGTATATAAGAATTTATTAACATGTAATTAAATGTACAATTTTATTTATTTATTAACATGTAATTAAATGTACTTTTTTATTTATTTTTTGTTTTAGCTTGACGAAGATTTCATCGATCATAGTGCACCGGGATTTTATCAAAAAAGAGTAAAAGTTGGGGAAAGGCGCCATCACATTTTTTGTACTGATAGACAGATGCAACTACTCGCACGCGCAAAAACTTGGTATATGGATGCAACTTTTCGGGTGGTGAACAAGCCATGGTCTCAGCTGTTTTCCATCCACGCCTTCATTAAGACTGGAGAGACCACCCGACAGTTACCATTGGTGTTTTGTGTAATGTCGGGTAAAAGCCAAGACGACTATTATAAGGTAAATAGCACTTACTGATTGAATTACTATTAATAGTAAAAAAGGACTATTATTTGGGACCTTGAAATTGTCACAAATGGGTCGCACTAACAGCGACATTTGTTTCAGGCATATTTGTTTCATCGGTGACACGTCTGGTGACATGTGAATGCAACGACAACAGCCTGGTTGATTGATTTGTTGATTGGAGTTCAGATGTCTACATTAAAATCGACCACTTTCAGGTTGCCGTATTCACGGCCAGGCAAGACCGACTTGAAATTTCTAGAAATTTTTCTGGGGGAGACAGGCCCCAACAAAACCCCCGACGGTGCGTTTCACGACTTTGGCGCAAGACGGTGACCTTGAAGAGACGTTGAAAACCATTTAATAGACATAGTAAAAGTCATATCTTACGAGATTATCGCTAGTCTTGTCAGAAAATGCTATTTTATATATGACCAGTTTGTGTTTGAAAAATTTAAAAAGAAATTATTTATTCTCCCACCATTAAAGCACACTAATTACGAAATATCGCTCTCAGAAACTTCATGGTTTCTTTTGCAATTTGTTTGGGGTAAGACGTTATATAAATAATATCAATCTGTCTACCACACAAATTTAACAGATACAAATGCATGTTATTCCACAGGTAGACAGACAGGGCCTCCTTTGAAGGGACTCAGTAAAGGGAACGCGGTTGGTTTAGAGTTTGTCTGACCCCTTTGAATAATTGCGTCTCATCTCCAATGAAAACATTCATGTTGCTCTCATGCTGTTCTCAACCAGAATCAAACATATATCGTACCCGAGATTTGTTAGCATGTTCCACACAACCCAACATTTATCGGCACCGGGATTAAGGGTGTATATCTTTGTTTCTAACGCTTATTGGGAATACGCCACGGAAACTACAATAAAAACTTATTTACAAAAACATTCTAAAGAGTGAAAACTGACATATTTCAAGCTTTACTGTATTTAAAGAAATAATTTAAATCAGCCGGCTGAAACCCCGTCTCCGCTATTTGTTCAGTCATTCTTTAGGTATAGTGCCAGTTTCCACCAACAATGATATTGCATACATTCCTACAAAATGTTTCTTTAGTCAAGTGAAACAATAAATTCATAACTATGCGAGGGTGTGGTGAGTAAATTCGTGGTAACAAGTCTGAAAAGGCTAATGTGACATAGAACAAGGTCACATTGATGTTGACAAATACGTAAGACGATATGAACATCAACTAAAAAGATATGTAATGTGATTCAGCTGTAAGGTGATATATGCATATATGCAGCATAGATAATCAAAACTTCTATTCAAGTTAAACCAACTGCATCTATTTATTTAAGTCTTACGTCGAGCTGAATACATTTTATGATTTATTGTCATCTATTGGGGGTTAACAGTGTGTAACTAAAAACTAAAATTGGATCTTATTATTGCCAATGATATAATGTACATATAATAGCAAGTGTATATATATTTTTTGTTCAGTCTGTACACAGTAACATATCTGAGAACCATATTATTATTATTTCTGCCCAAGGCTCCCTGTGCCTTATAGTTAGCAGTGATACAAGGCAATTACCAATTTTCCATGTTCTTGGCCTGAAGAAATAAATAATAAAAGTCAAGTTTTTATTATTATGCAAGTGGAAAAATACAATTATTCATAGTATGATTTGAATAAATACAACTGATTTGAAGTTGGAATTATTATTTGTCTAAGATGACTGGGCATTTACAAATTGAAATAGCTACTCTTCATCAAGAAAATACATGAATATTTTTCCCAATTCACCTGGATTTTATTGTAGGTCTTTGTACGTGAAATAGCTTTATTTAACGTCCGCTTCCACCGAAGTGATATTGCGGAAAATTAACAAATTCGGATTCCCTTTTAAAGGAAATTGACTGCACTATCGCTGGATTGTATTATATAGGTCATGTCAGGTTTTTTTAAAATGGCGCCCAGAACACAAAACAAACATTGCAATTCAAGGCGGACTGGTGTCGAGGCTGTATCCTAAGAATGAATTTTTGAATATTTAATCACACAGAAACACAAGTATGCACATGCAGTTATGATATAATATTAAATTAGCTTACCTCAAATACCTCGAAATATACTGTTTGGTCAGTTTGTCCGCCCGCCATATTTCTATTAGTCACACATCCTTCGGCCAATTAAAATGGACGTATATTTTGTTTTAACTGAATCGAAAAATTTGCGTTATAAATAGTAAACGAGCTTGATTGACCGACCACTGCTAATGTTTTTTCGTGAAACGGTATAACTGCAATCAACACACGGCCGCCATTCTCGATGATTGACAACTCACGTTTTTCCTCATCCACCAAAGAACCGTTAGGTTTCTTTGAACATACTGTAATAACATTGGGATTATCAGTTAATCAGCTTTAATTATCCCGCTTTGTTCGTTGCCATTTCTTATATTTTCCACAAAAAACTTTGCCTTGTACGCACTAATTTATCAATTGGTATTGCCATCTACGACAAGCATGTCAACGTGCAGCTCACGGATTATCGTTAACAATTTCTAGGGGCTTGTAAAAAAAGATTGCATGTCGTGTAAATATTTTTTTTGTTTTTTGTGTAGGTCATTTTCAAATAAATTCATCAGCATATTATTCGTTTTAAATAAATATAAAACTTTTATGAGAAACGATGATTATCAAAGAACCGTAAGTGCAACTAATGTTTTATCGTTTGGTTGAGCCTTTTACTAACCACGTGTTTCATGTTAATAAATATTTTCTTTCGGGTTTTGAATTGGCCTATTTCTAATAAATTATCCCGAGTCCCAAACGTCGTTAACCCGAGTCCCAAACGACGTATACCAAAGTCCCAAACGTCGTATACCCGAGTCCCAAATGTCGTGGTCATATTTTTTTGAGTCCCAAATGACGCGAGTTCCAAATGACATGTAATCCGTTGTTCAACCTCTGTGAGTCTGTGTAATATTTAATATTAGGCCCCATTTTTGCCTGATTCAGTCACAGTTAATAAATAATGGAACTAGAATCAGCCTGTGGAAGTTTCTCTATAGTTTTATTATTTTTTCCAGTCAATGATGATATGTGACTCTTTCCACCTTCCAGCAATAATTATTGAGAATTTACCAAGGACTCCATTGGCATTGAATCGAAGAAAAACAGGTAAAAATTTCAATTAAGTTTTATATTTTCTATTTTTTTTTTTACCAATGTCCTACAATGATTAGTGTATGTGAACATACAATCCAAAATAAAGTATTTATATGGCACTTACATGCAACAGAGAGAGAGAGAGAGAGAGAGAGAGAGAGAGAGATGACATAAACAAGGCCTTACATGTACTTGTGTTTGAAGAATCAAGTAGTCCATGCTGTGCCTATATGCATACCGGTAATCAACTACGACGAGGATTAGCCTACTTCCGTTTCCACCCTTTCCCTGCACACTGTCTCATTCTACATGTATTAAAAATTGGTATGTTACTGTAATATTAATTATGCACGAACCTACATGTAGAGTTGTTGCAAGATGGGTCCTTATAGGCTATCTACTTAGCCTACAGACGCTAGGTCGTTTCGGGAAAAAGGACAGGTAAGGTTAAATTTAATATGAATAATTCGCTTGCGGGTATGGGTATTTAGCAAAAGGAGGAAACAAAAGGACCCAGAGATTAGAGAAGGTATGCTTCAATTTAATATGAATAATTCGCTTGGCGTAGGGGTACATGTATTTAGAAAACGGAGGAAACCGAATGACCCAGCGAAAAAACTCAAGAGATTGGACAGGCGACTCTACTCCTTGAAATTGAAACCATGCCACTTAACACAATGACAGACCCTGTGATTTCATGCGCATGCATTACCTACTAGACCATTCCCCCCAGCCCCACCCCATATCGAATAAAAGTATGACTTATTTCATATATGATATTTACATATAAAGAAAGTAGAGAGACTTCAATCTTACTAGAAAAATACTAGATTACCTGAAATGAAATGGGGTTTAAAGACAACGTCCTACTGGTCAGCTCCGACTGGTCTAATGCATTGTGCTAAGTGAAAATGTTTGTCTGGGCAGCGACACTATGGCCTACTCTCATACCGAATTCAAACTGCCAAGAGAACTTTTATGTGTACGCCAATGTGTACATTGGATCTCAGGGGAAACCACTCTGCAAAATCAAGATGAGCTTTCTCGGTCAACCCCAAGAGATAACCTGTGGCCTCCATGCTGGTGTGCCAGCACCTAATTTACTCAGTCACCATGGCCGTCTTCTAATTACTGCGACAGTTAAACCATGTGACAAACAAGGATTATTAAGATAAACTTTTACGGCTTAGGTAGTTCCTTGGGATTAAAACTTTTGATACATATAGATACATTAGTTTCAATTTCATATCACACAGTTTGTATATATGGTAAGGTAGCTTTAATCGTAAATTACATATCATGTATTTATTTTTTCAGTTTCAATACTGGATGTATATGCAAATCACCCAGAAAAAGATCATGTAATAACAAAAGAAATTATAAAATAAAAAAATGGAAGAAGAAATGGCTGGAAAAAATGATGATAGAGCAGCTTTTTCTTGGTGGGTAACTATTCAATTCTAATAGAAAAGATTGTTATGCTATTTTGAAATCTAAAATTCAGTTTAGTATAGTAAAACTGTACACGTCATGTATGAGCAGAGACAGAATCTTAGTTATATGTAGATATCACTGTCTCATCTGTGGCAAAGCAAACCAACACATGAAACAAAACAAATGTAATTAAATTAACATTTTTTTAATTAATCAAAACTGTCTAGTCAATTTAAGCCAACTAATACATTGCCATTTTTTTTTTCAGTTACCCACCTCGGAAGATCAAGTTGGAAAGGGCTATTGATATTGTGGAGACGTTTTCTCACAGATCTTGCTTATCAGACAAAGACTATGTAAGAACTGGTTCTATACACTTGGTGGGGGGGGGGGGGGTTGGATGGACGTTAAACCCCATTTCTCTCTCTCTGTCCTAAATATTAAGATTTTTGTTTACTTTTAAACTGCATATATTCAAGGTATCAGGAGCTTTTTATGGCTCCCGTACAATTTTATAAACATGAAGGACTGTACCTTTTGAATATTAAGCCATCAAATTATTTTATAATTTTGAAAATGAAATGAAATGGGGTTTAACATCCTACTGTTTTGCTCATAAATTGGGCTAATGAAGACGGGCATACGCCATACAGTGTTCTATGAAGGGAATTTTGCCCGGGCAGCGGCGCTACAGCCTACTCTTATATCGAATTCCAATTGCCAAGGAATCTTTTACGTGCACGCCAATGTGTACACGGGACCTCGGTTTTTCGTCCCATCCGAACGACTAGACAGCTGTCCTTGTCAGGTCCTCCGTCCTGTATCACTGACAAGGGGAAAACACGCAAAATGTAAGTAACATATATATTTGTATTTTTAATCAGGAAGTACTTCTATACACTTGCTTGGTAATCTAGTTATTCTGCTTGGGGCAATGCCTAGGACTCTGCTGTTTCAAGTACTTGACATGCTTGATTTTTGCCAATCACATCCATTGATTTCCTTCAAGTTGTGATAGGCCCTACATGATGTGTATTTTTACAGTAAATAGCAGTAAAATAATGATGGACAGTATTTTACTTTCAAATAGATTTCAATAGATTTTAAAGGGTAATATCGAATTTGTTGTCAATGGAAATAAAATAAGAATGGGTCCAAAAATAATTAGACATTGCCAAGTAAATAGGTGCTGCCATGATGTAGTAGGGAATCTGGATTTGCAGACAATACATGTATGAAAGGGTGAATAGTTGACCTATTATGAGACTTCAGTCCCAAATCTCAAGACTTTTTTCTGACTTCTAACTCATTGATTTGAGCATAATAATCTGCCTGGGTCTGTAACTGGACAAGACACAATAAGCGTTACGCAAAGTTGAAACCAAATAGAGACTCGGTCTCGATGTGGCAAAATAAATTGTTTATTTAAACGTTGTGAACCATAGAAAGTATTCTTATTGCCTACTTTTTATTTTTTAGGCTGGAACACCATTGAAAGAGTATTTGCTGTATGATAACAACAAGAAAACCCAAGCATCAATTTATTTTATACTTCTGGGAAAGAATGCATTTGACCCAATTTTTAAATATTTATTTTTTGTTATTAATGTTAAATTTTCTTCCAAAACACAATTAGATTTTAATTCTCTTCAGAAATGTATGTATAATATAGCAAGTAAAGTGACATATAAATCACTTAGAATTTGGTCAGAAATCATAAAGTATTTAATAGGCATTACTAGAAACCAAATGTAGATCAAATACACCCAGAATTACAAAAAACCTTGACCTACATAAAGGTGACTTTCCCTTGCTTATGAAATGAAATACGGTTTAGTATCCTACTTTTCTGTGTTCTTAGAGTGATTCTGCCCTACACCCTACTCTTATATCAAATAGTTCAACTGTCAAGGGTTCTTTAACGGGAACCCGGGGGGGGGGGGGGGGGCAATGATTAACACGCACACATTTGATCAGGAAGTCTGTCATTGAGTCAAATAATTCAATTGTCAAGGGTTCTTCTAAGTGAACGCAGTGGGGATGGTTTCGATTCCGGAAATGGGGGAGGGAGTGGTGGATTGCCGAATGGTAAGCACGTGCGTGCGGTATCATACGGCCTGTCATTGAGTCAACTGGCGTGGTTTCGAATCCCCGGTTGTACGTGACAAGGAGTAGGGTCGCCTGTCCAATCTTGTGGGTTTTCTCCGGGACCTCCGGTTTCCTCCCACTGCTAAAGACCCCTATGCGCAACGAATTATTGAAATAAAATTAAAACATATGTTAATCCCGAAATGACCTAGTTTGTGTCAAGTGGACGTTAAACCCCATTTCTCTCTCTCTCTCTCTTTCGATTCCGGGCTTGTACCCAATTATCCCTTGCCATATCCAACACTACTGACAAGTGGGAACTATGCCGGAAAATCCAGTTGAAATTTCTCGGCCAACACCTTATACTCACTGAACCACTGTGGCTTATGACTTGTGATTGTATATAAATTTTTTGTACATATGATATTTTTTTATTTCAATCCTGTAATCTTGATGCTTTGCTTCTTTTATTTACAAAATATTCATTTTGTTTGGGGGTTTTTTAATGAGGAAAAGGTTTTACATCATTTTATTACTCCTGCAAAATAGTGCATTTTTCATTTGTTAGTTTTCTGTGTATATTAGTTATTTCTATATGTCTCACAAATCACTTGTAGTGTGATTTTGTAGCACTTTTCAGTTTTCGAAATTGTTTCAATTTAGTGCATAATTAATCTTAGTGCTTGGTTTGGATGTTATTAAATTTAGATATTATTTGAATTATATATTTTGGAGTATGGGGTAGGGATACTGTGTACATATCTTTATATTCTCAGTTCTTGTTTTGGGGTAAAGAACAATTTATATAGCTATTTTATATTTTGTGATAGGTAAAGTGTGTGGGGTTAAGAACAATTTAAATAGCTATGTTATATTTTGTGATGGGTAAAGTGGGGTGTGTGTGTGTGTGTGTGGGGGGGGGGGGGGGGGGGGTCATTATATATAACACAATATAATTAGTATTAGAATTCTCTGTTTTTTCTGTTAACATTTCAAATATCTATTTAGTTTTGATGTATTAATTTACTTTTTCCTATGATTTTATGAATAAATAATAATCTTACAAAAACAAAAAAAAAATTTTGTTTCCTTCTTTTATCAAACTTTACAGGTCTAACAGAGCAAAGAGATAGGTCCTGCATAAAAAGGTTGCTATACTGTATATAAATTGGGGAAAAACACAACACAAGTTTTTGTGGATGGTTATACACATGTTTGTATGAAACCACACAAGTTTCAGAAATTTCAACACAAGTTTCAGAAATTTTAACACAAGTTTCAGAAATTTCAACACAAGTATTGTGTAGATTTTCACACAAGTTTCAACACAAGTTTGTGTTGTTTGATAAATTTTAACACAAGTTTTGTGTTGTTTCAACATTTAACACAAGTTTGTGTTGTTAAATAGAGACACCTTACTTGTGTTGAAAACAACACAAGTTTGTGTTGTTTCAACACAAGTTTTTTTACAGTGTGTTAATCCCAAAGTAACGATAGAGATCACGAATGTATTTTTAAAAACTTTTTATTCTTCAAATTTTGAGCGGCACACTAAGAAAATTTATCACTAAAGAAGCCAGCTGTTTGACTGATGAAATTCGAAACACTTCAATAAAGTAAGTTCATAGCTGTTTTTTTCTTTATTTAGTTTGAGACATTCTATGTGTCTATGACTAGTCTTTGTCTATGGTTGTATGCCGTCTATGACTTGCCATGTTTTTATTTTGCAAAATTCAAATACTTTTCATATATATTTAGCCAGGTGTGCCGCTATGTTTTCGTGTGTTCTAAGGCAGTAGTTTAACATTAAACAGGGTACTTGCATATCACGCCTGACTTTTATCCTAACTGGAAGTATTACTGATATAACATATTTTATTCTATTCATTTATCCTAACGTGAACATAACAATTAAGAGGGTGTTTACAATCTGCACGGTAATGATCTAATTCTAATATACGTGATCTTAATTATTGAGTTCTAACGAGATCTTAATTATTGAGTTCTAATACGAGATCTTAATTTTTATTTCTAATATGGGAGGTCTCAATTATTTAATTCTAACATGCGAGATCCTAATGATCTAAAACTAATATACGATATCTTAATTATTTCATAGGAAAATGGCACATTAATTCCCTCGCGGTTGCATGCGAAATACTTATAATGGATAAGTGCCGAATTCTTTAGTCTTTGATTAAAACCATACCTAATTTAGTTTCAACTGGCGCGTTAAACATTTTATATGTACATAGCATGTGGAATGAATTCAACACGCGATGGTGTAATATATACTAGAATACATTATAGTAATTATGCAATTATTCAATTTCAATGCAATCTCTTTTATTATTTTATTGGTTAATTTTAGGAAACTGTGTTATAGAATGAAATATTTAGATGTGTGTTGTGTTGTTGTATTTCTAAATTACTTGAATACTACAAAGAATAATTTTGAGAACAAACGATACATGTATATATTGTTTCCAAATATCTGTTATTAGGTGATATTTTATACGCGCTTGCGTTAGTTATTGGAATTAAGATAACAGTCATATTACAGGACGATATCCAAACTTAAGGAAGCTATTGTCATGTACAGTGCAGGATATGCTTACTCTTTATAAAGAACCCGATTCTGATTCGTGTTCTTTTAGAAGTTCAAACACACAATCTGGAGGTACAAATTACTCTCTCTCTCTCTACGAAACTTTAACCCTCGATATATATTTTGTTAGTAACATATATAATACCAAACAATTCGTCCATATTTAATCGAATAAACCAATAATTTGGACATCTGTTGCGAAATTCTTTAGCACCTTATATAGTGGGAAATTAACAGGCCAGTAAGTATTACTCTTTTTCTATACACACTATTTTTGTCCTTAATTTGGACATATTTTTAAGAGCATGTGTTCGATCAGCATAGTATCTTATTTAAATCTTGCCTAAATTAATTTGTTTTATTCTAATACACGAGATCTTTATTATTTAATTCTTGTCGACAATATCTTAATTATTTAATTCTTGCCGACAATATCTTATTTATTCAATTCTAATATGCGAAATCTTAATAATTTAAATCTTGCATAGACCAGGATAATGAAATAGAAGTCAAAGGAAAAACTGCTTGGATACGATAATTACTTACTTCTATACATATCTACCATATCTAATTTAGTTTCAGCTAGCGCTACAATCTGATTAAAACACAGATCCTGTTTCGTTTCGTTTTTATAGTTCAAAATTTCATTTTACTTGTCTTTACTAAACTAGGATCTTGACGAGTGGTTATAAAACCCGCGTTCTGGTTGATGTGGGAGGATGAGCTAATGAAACGGTCTGGTTCAGTGAGTTCTTGGCGTGCGATGCACGAAACTGCGGGTATCCTACTAGAAACATCAACGCTGATTGGTTAGTTAAATGTTTGACGTCATAGGGTCAAAAGTTGTTCGTATGACCCCTGGCGCGACCTCCCACTACAACTTGTCAGATCTTCAATTAGTAGAGGCTGTCTAAAGTATAAAAAAAACGAAATATATAGAGGATATTTGTCGTTTTAGAGTGAATAACATATTTTATTTCATCGAGAAGCAAGAAAACTTCACTGAAAAAAAACTTGTGTTGGATCTCAACACAAGTACTTGTGTGAAAATTATTCTACACAAGTTATGTGTTGTTTTGCATTGCATTAACACAAACTTGTGTTCTTTTTAATACATTAACACAAATCTTGTGTTTTTTCCATATAATTAACACAAGTAATGTGTACCGTCAACAAATATTTTTTTTTTAAATTTGAACTCCATACAAAGTCTTAATCCGGGGGTCCACAAGTAAGAGAAAGGTATTTTTTACTCAGACAATATAGCCAGACAGACTTGAATGCTAATTGGTGTTAAGATGTCTGTAGTTAAAATAAAGTTGGGCCCAATAAACTGGTAGATCAAAGGCCTGTTGAGCGCTCATGCCCGGTGTGATTTTAACAATTGACTCCAAATGCGTTGACAAGAAAATAAGTAAACCTGTTATTGAATGTGATTGGTTGATAAAATCAACGTACTATAGGCTACATTTTGTCTGCGATATCATCTCGGTGGAAGCGGACATTAAATGAAGTGATTTCACACAATTAATTTAACATTTAACAACGTGCTGAAATGATTTTGGAGCAGTGATATGTTTGACAAATGTAAGCTAATGGTCACATAGAATACAAGACCGCAGGTTTGTGAATATTTATATAAAAAAAATAATACCATGTATGTAATTTAGCATCGATATTGTTTCTCTGTATAATATTAGTATTTCGTTTCCTTAAAAAAAACGCCAACAATTTAAACCGGAAGTTCATGTTTATAATATGGCGCGGTCAGGAAAAAAATTTCGGCATGTTGTTATCAAATCTGTTCAATTAACATTAGTTGTTCGGCGCTACGATGTTGTTCAAATACTTACATTACAGAATCACATTATGATTAAAGCAGAAACGGTTCGACTTGAACCAGCAGGTAAGAATCTGTTTTGAATTTATATCTTGGGAGGTTGGATTGGCGTTGGAGACCCGATTGGCGGCCATTTTGATTCTTGTTTCATGATTTTTTTTTATATTATAACGATTTTGCCAAGAGTAGACATAAACGCGGGCACAGACTAGAAAAAAATCTTTTTACACTTTTGTGTTAGTTGAATTGTAATCTAATTTATGTTTAAAAAAACAACCTTAAATCTAATAAGCAGACGGAAGATATGGACGAACAACAAGAAGAAGTTATGGAGGTCCCAACAACTGAACCTATGGAAGTAGAAGAATCGTTTACAGCCGAAACCCGATACGATGTGCCAGTTCCGGTTATGGAGTCCTCCATCTCAGACGATGCCGACGTTAGTGTCTTCTGCGACGAAGAACCCGTAGTGGTGTATCACTATAAACCTCAGAATTCCTCGTTCGGCATTTCTGTCCAAACGAGGCAAAAACGTGTCAAATTTTTTGCCCCGATTTTGCCTCGTTGTAACGAGGTAAAAAAAATACCTCGTTTCTCTGGAGTTCCAAAACGTGTTTTTTTTTAAATTGTCCTGTTTTTGGAACGAGGTATTTTGTTCAGAACGAGGCTGGGTAAAATTGCCTCGTTTACTAAACGAGGTATTTTATCCAAGATAATTATTAGCGGTATTTGCTGTCAACAAATAGAGCCATACAAATAATGTTCGGACCATCATGTGACCAATTGCAGATCTACAAATTAGATTATTTATTTGGGACATGATATTGTTCATAGTTATGGCTTACTACACTGGAGTTCTATTATGTATAATAAACGCTTCCCGAGCGAAACAAAACATAACAATGTCACGTGACAATATTACATATGGCGGATACAAGCGTTCTTTGATTACATGCTGTTTGGTTTGATTATTAAATAATACGGCAATCTGTATATATGGGAAAAGGAGAATGAATTTCCCTAAATCCAAAACTAGATGACTGGAATATTTATTGAATGGAAAGTAAATATTTTATAAACAAAAATATTCGGATTTGCAGTATTCTAGCTTGGATGGATTTGTGATTTGAATCTCGAACTCAGTGTTTTATACATTTTATTATAAAATTGTAATAAATGTTTTACATGAATGAATAAAATCTACAATTTAAAACAGTACAATAACATTGTGATTTGACGCTCTACAAATCACTAAGAGTATAACAATTGCTTGTTGAAAAAGCGTTAATAATATGTTTTTTTCCATTTATTATTTTTTAAAAATATATTCAAAAAGAATGCGTCTTTTACAGATTTCAATATAACCACAAATGGTTGATTGTTTTAATGTAAGATACATTATGTATATCTTAAAACACGCCCTTCTCAGTTACTACTTCGGCGAATATCGTTTGATAATTTAGATGATCAGAATTAAACACCGTTTTGCTATGTTATTATTTTTTTATGATTGGGTGGGGGTATACTTAATTAGGGGATTCGATTGAAAGATTATAGCTACCATCTTATGGAGACATAATGTGTGGTGCATTTACGGTCTTATAAAGCTCTATTCTTACATAAAGAATTCTTGATTCGCACGGAAGTGTTTTAGCCGTGATCATTTTAAGTCATGCTTATGCCAAGATCTGGGTAAGTGTTAATTTAACTAGATATCAGAAAAGTACCACGTTTTCATAAATGTACTCTTTAGATAAATTGTACAATATTTATCAGTTCACTAGTTACAATAAAATCATGCATTATAGCTATTTTTATTTATTTATCCCTGGTGCTTCAAATTCAATTTAGGTTGCCTCAACATATTTAAAAATATGTTTTAAAGCTTTAGGTCATTTTATTATATCTTTCTACCATAAATAATAGCCCGAATTTAGGTATACCAAAAGTTAAAGAAATATAAACAGTTTTTGAGTCATTCAGATATGACTGTCAAAATTGTCACCAACACACATGTCGTGTTTAGGCTAAAATCTAACCAGAAAAGTATTGTCAATACATAATAAAATATATATTGCATTAATCAATTCCATTCCGCAATTGGTTTGTCTTAAACTCGTCATTTGTGTTCATGGGCATCAGGGTCGAGATGGCAACGTTATATGTTTTATTCGTCTAATTTACTATAAAACATCATTCGGTTTGCCTCACGGGTTAACGGCATATTAATAGCTTTATTCACTGAGATGGTTCCTTTACTTATAGTTTATTTTTCGAATTGCTTTTTGTATTTATTTAAATGGAAATATTAACAACATTCTATAAGTCAATCCACGAACATACCCAATTTCAATATTTGCGTGTTGACCTTTTACATCACACTAAGATCCTGAACGCTTTGTGTCTTACAGTCAATACATGTCATGAAGAACTCTTTAGACATAATTTCGTTTATAATACTTTACTCGTTTCTATTGAGTTGTTTAGCAGAAGTAACCCATGACAACAATATGTTGAGACGACTACGTAACAGAATAGGACGATTCAATGTTATTAAAATGACACAATGACAATTTTAATTTTATTACCAACCCTTTCACAATATTTGAATGAAATATCTCACACAGGGTGTTAATCTGTTTTCAGTTTCTATTCCAATTCAATAAAACATTTAATACATGTCTTGGCTTGATTCATTATTTACAATTTAATACGTTAATCGTGTATTTTAAATAATACAGTTCAAGAGATCAAAACATTTCCGAATTTATACATTCAACATTGCACGTAGACCTAAATGTATTTTTCAAATACGTGTATAAACATTTATATGAAATATATTATAAACAGATATGCTATGACCAGAGTTGCCATTATCTTTATTATTCGACTGGAAAACTCCTGTCATTCACTCTGTCGTTCGACTGATCCATCATTCACGTTGTCATTTCCTAGTCTGAAATTTGGGGTATAGGGGTAGCTCGGACCGGGGAGTAACATAGGCCAGGTGGCGTTAGTCTACCACTTCCGGGCATTCTTCTAGTATATAAATAAATATATAAATAAATCATCTTCATGGTCATCATCATCGTCATCATCATCGTCATCATCACTATTTAACACCAATCATCGTCGCCTGACAATTACCTTATCTATTCAAAGCGCTTGTTTAGTTTTAAATACTTGTGAACTTTACTAAAACTTACTTTGTTGAACGGGTTACTTTCGTTGGTATCGCCATATAGGAACGCTTTTGTATTTATGGATTTAAATGGGAGGGTATTTAATGTTGAGACGAATAATTTGGGCAGTGCAGAAAATAATGGTCGCTGTCTTCTTGAGTATGACCACAACTGCATGTCGGGTTATGTGAAATATGCATTAAAAATCTATGGAAGTTTAGAGCACTTTTACAATTACGAAGTCTGGAATGTATAATCTGAAATTTACGTTCTCCATAGTAACATCTTACTGACATCAATAAATACAAAAATATGACTAAGTCGAAAGTCAACAAGACGGTATACAAGCCAAAATGCAAGTCGAAAATAAGAAATTAGGAAAAAAAACGAGGGGCGCTATTATCGCAGTGTATTATTTCTTGATTTCCTATTTTCGAGTCGATTTTGGCTTGTATAGCATTGCTGTCGCCTCACATTTTGTCGTAACTGCTACTTTTCGACTTTCGTGTTTTGGAGGGCGAAAAGTAGAAATTAAGAATGGTAGGCTTCTATAGTTAGGCGTTTGTATATATGACTGTATACTTGACACATGTACGACCTGAATGGCTGAATGGCCGGTAACCAAATATGTTATTGTGAGTGTTAAACGACATCGTAATTATTTTATATTTTGCAAAAAAAACAAACAACAAAAAACAAAACAAAAAAACACAAGCCGTGATTGCCATTACTACAATACGGATTACTAAATATACTTTGTGTTCAATTTTATATTTTAATACTGAAGACAGGGCCGGACTATAAATGAACAAGGCGGATCCTTTTGGCTTATATTGAGTAATTATTGCAACGTGTTAAGGTTGAAAGTTCCAAAGCATTTTCACATTCCATGTCCGATAAATTTAATCATCATGCAACTACTGATTGGTGGGTCGTCGAAACATTTAGATGCATACATCACAGCACCGTGGTTTAGACAACTTGCAATTGAACTAGTTTTATTGTTGTACACATAATGAAAGAAACTGTGTTATTTCACAGCTGAATTCTATGGTAAGAACCGTAGAACCACCTTGTAAGGAATAACTTTTAAACTTTAACACCCTATACACACTCTGCCAGCGGCATCTTTGACCCACACTCTCTTAACATTAATCCAAACTTTAAATCTTTCAACGGTTTAACAAGAAGGTGCTAAATATTTCCATTTAAATAAATACAAAAAGCAATTCGAAAAATAAACTATAAGTAAAGGAACCATCTCAGTGAATAAAGCTATTAATATGCCGTTAACCCGTGAGGCAAACCGAATGATGTTTTATAGTAAATTAGACGAATAAAACATGTAACGTTGCCATCTCGACCCTGATGCCCATGAACACAAATGACGAGTTTAAGACAAACCAATGGCGGAATGGAATTGATTAATGGAATAAAATATTTATTATGTATGGACACTAAGTTTTATGGTTAGACTTTAGCCTAAAAAAACATGCGCGCTGATTACAATTTTGGCAGTCATATCTGAATGGCTCAAAAACTGGTTATATTTCTTTAACTTTTGGTATACTTAAATTCGGGCTATTATTTAATATATATATTGATCAACAGCGGCGATAAAAATCATTAGTCTCGACAATGACTAGTTGTCAGTGAAAGTCTCTCAGGGGAGCCAGGCGGCTCTGTGAATAAAGAGCTGGCTTGAACGCCTCGTGTTCATTAGCCTGAATAGTGAAGGAATGCGGGTCATTAAACCCCAATTTCATTTCATAAATCTCTCGGCTCAATAATGAGCTACTCGGGTTGGTTAGATCCACGCCTTAATGCATATACAACCAATAGAGAAATAGGTCAAATATGGCGACAATGATCAACTTGCTCTTCTTCTACTAAATTAAAGATTCGTGTGGAGATTCTGTCGATATAATCATATATTTATATCTGCTCTTTCTTAAAATGGAGACGGTTAGTAAAATGGTCTTCTTTACGTTCCTAAATATCAGTATGACCTTAGTGAATACCGCACGATTACGATCCGTTCCAGACTGATAACTTTACGTTCCTTAAATATCAGTCTGACCGTAGTGAATACCGTACGATTACGATCCGTTCCATACTGATACCTTAATTATAGGCTAATTATAGAGCCTTCAATTTCAAACACATTTTTATTATCATATGCTCTTATTTTTTTTTCATCATTATATGATTAACATTTCCTAAACTTTACGATTTTCAACTTTTTTTTAATATAATAGTCCATCTCTGAGACAACAAAAACGTAAATAAATGGAAGATAAAAGCAAGAAAGACAACCCTAATAAAGGAGTCAGGACTAAGACTAGTAATTATTTCCCCATATTTCATGATTGTCGAATGTAGTGCGAGTTATAAATAGACAATTTTTCCCTTAATTTTTTTCTCCCCTCTTCCTGCATTTTTGGGTTGACTTTTTGGTCTAGAATTGGAGAAAAGGGATCAAATTTGCAATTTCATAGCAGTTTTGGGTAATACTGATGATATTACAGCGGAGGGATAGGGGGTGTAAAGTGTCTTTCTGCAGAGCAATCATTGTGTCGGAAGTGAGATTTTCACCCCTGTCAACTTCAAATCCATGTAGCAAAAAATCTAAACGGTCAACCCCCTACAAAATTATGATGAGGAGATTGCCAAATGTTGTCCCCATTGTGCCTATAAAGATTGGAACCAACGGAATGTTGAGCAAAAAGCTACAGCCTGTGATGTTACAGTCATTTAACATTGAAGTCAATGGGCAAATAATTGCTAGTCTGACTCCTGATGATATAAAGAAGCATGGCCGACTCGGGATGTTGATATTTTTTCAACGGCTTATTTCCTGAAGTTTTGAATGGAAAGTGTCAGAAATGGTAAGAATACTGCTTTTTTATTGCCCAGCAGTAAGTTTTTTGACTATTTGGTATCAAAATAGCCATGATTGGGAGTATCCGTTGGTTGAGTGTGAATTTTGGGTTGTAAATGTGTAACATTTTGTTCACAATGATATCAAAACATGGTTAGGTCTAAATATTAAGGCCAACTCAACTCCAGATTTGGTCTAAAGTCACGAGATGTAAACAAGACTGACCCTAACCCTAACCCAAGACCTAGTCCTTACCCTAACCCTAACCCACAATCTTGTCAAAAAGCATGTAGCCTAGGCCTAAGCCAAGACCTAGTTCTGACCCTAGCCCAAACCCACAATTGTGTCAAAAAATCATGTGCCCTAACCCTATTTACATGTTGTGACCTTGAACCAAGTCTGCAGTTGGCCTTAACATTTAGACCTAACATGTTTTTGACATCATACAATGAAATGTTAACATGTACACTCCAAAATTCACACCTGTGTGACTTTTGACCAAACATGCAGTTGGCCTTAATATTTAGACCGAACCTCAAAACATGGCATCTACCTTTGAGATTGGCTTAGACTTATGTGACACTCAAGGTTTACTTTTTTACTGATTGTTAACTGGTTTCTTTTTGGAGGGCCAGTGACGGGCTGTTCGCGAGAAATAAAGAGGTTTATTTCTATTTCCAGTTGAAACCATATTTTTTTCTTATTTTCTCACTGTTTTTTATTGCATATTTATCCCCAGCATCCTATCATTTCAGGTGCCAGGGCAATGTTTCATAGAGTGGAATGATTGACCTCAACACAAGTATTAAAAAAAAAAGAAGCACTTTAAGAAGTACATCCAACCTCATCCCCACTTCTGCTGACTAATAGTAATGGGCTGGAAATTTGGTACTGCACAGGCCTGTCTTCTCCCCTTGACATTCAACTGAATGACAGAATTCCACATTTTGACCATTTTCTGGATGTCAATGACCATTTCCCTGAATAGTATTTGCCCCAGAATTCTCATTCTCATCCAAATTTAACATTTCAGGTCTACATCTCAAAACCTGATCTCTTCCTGGACTGGCTTTAGGAGAACGATGATGCATATCAATTTCATCCCTGATCTCTATGACACCTGTGGTGGAAGTGGAGGGCAAATCGTAATCAGTTTGGGTTCCAGCCCCGAGGACCTCTGTAAACTTTGCTTTTTGGTGATGACTTAATTTCCGAGCTTGAAAATGACGCTTGTGTGTTTATCATGGCCTCTCATATTGGAAGATAACATTAATGGCTTGTGTGTTGATCGACGGTTGTGCATATCTCTTGGTCAGGAAAGTTGTAGGCACCATCGCCATTGTAAATCATTTGACAGGCCCGAGTGAACGGGGCGACCTATGATTGGTCAGCAATGTATCAGATTCCATACCGGGGGGTGGGGATGAAAAAACTGTTGTAGTGTTACATAATCAGATTATTGTCCCCCGCCTTTCGAAGAAAGCAGGGGACTATTAAAATGGGTTCGTCTGTCTGTCTGTCTGTCTGTCTGTCTGTCTGTGTGTCCGTCCGTCCGTCCGTCCGTCCGTCCGTCCGTCTGTCTGTCCGTCACACTTTTTGGGACACAATAACTCTCTTCCTAATTGAGCTAGAATGTTCAAACTTGGTGTATGTGTTTATTAGGTCAATGCCTTGATGGAGTTCGAAGATGAGCATTTTCCGCTTAGGGTAAGCAGAGATAAGCAATTTGATTGGTTGATGCTTTGGGACACGATAACTCTCTTCCTAATTGGGCTAGAATGTTCAAACTTGGTGTATGTGTTGATTAGGTCAATGCCTTGATGGAGTTTGAAGATGAGCATTTTCCGCTTAGGGTAAGCAGAGATAAGCAATTTGATTGGTTGATGCTTTGGGACACGATAACTTTTAATTGAGCTAGAATGTTCAAACTTGGTGTATGTGTTTATTAGGTCAATGCCTTGATGGAGTTCGAAGATGAGCATTTTCCGCTTAGGGTAAGCAGAGAAAAGCAATTTGATTGGTTGATACTTTGGGGCACGATAACTCTCTTCCTAATTGAGCTAGAATGTTCAAACTTGGTGTATGTGTTGATTAGGTCAATGCCTTGATGGAGTTCGAAGATGAGCATTTTCCGCTTAGGGTAAGCAGAGATAAGCAATTTGATTGGTTGATGCTTTGGGACACGATAACTTTAGTTCTAATTAAGTGAGATTGATGAAACTTGGTGTATAGTTTCATTACAGTAATACCTTGACTAAGTTTGATAATGAGCATTTTCTGCTCAGGGTAAGCAGAGCGATACGCAATTTGATTGGTCGAGACTTTGGAAAACAATAACTCTCCTACTTTGATTGTCCCCCGCCTTTCGAAGAAAGCAGGGAACTATTAAAATGGGTTCGTCCGTCTGTCTGTTTGTCTGTCTGTCCGTTCCGCTTATGGTAAGCAGAAAAAACAAATTGAAAAAGAAACTATTATAAATTAATTAAATATGTAGTATGCAATAAGGAATTGACATTTAATGACAGAAAGAAAACAGTGAACTTTGCACAACTTGCAGCAAGATGGAAAATAGACCCGTTGATACAACCAAACTCTAGATCTGTAGGCATAGAGCATGTTTTCCCCTTAATATGCTATAATTATTCCATCAAAAACATTGTATGCTTAGACTATAAGTAAAGATATACTGTTTGATTGTTCAATACTTTGTAAAAGATAATTTGTGATAAATTTATATGTGTCCTCTAATTATTTTCCTATTTCGGCGGGGGACATCAGCCTCACTGTTGGCTTGTTTCAACTTACTTATCCTGTGGAAATACAGCTATATAGGAGATATTTTGAAATTCATAGGCACTGCATGTTTCAACATTTTAGATTTGACCACAATCTGGCACTTGAAACTATGTTAACAGAGAAAAACTGTGTGGTTTTCGATGAAAGTGTTAAAAGTCTAATATTGCATCATGATTACTGTTTTAAAGTATTTTCGTGTTTGATTTATATTGAATTCATCTCATCTTTTTGAAGAATGCATTTATGTTCAAAAATAAAAATGTTCTGTGGAATTCAAAATTCATGTGCTTTTAAATTATCAGATTCCAAACTGGGGGGTAGGGATGAAAAAGCTGTTGTAGTGTTACATAATCAGATTATTTCAACTTACTTATCCTATGGAAATACAGCTATATAGGAGATATTTTAAAATTGATAGGCACTGCATGTTTCAACATTTTAGATTTGACCACAATTTGGCACTTGAAACTACGTTAACAGAGAAAAACTGTGTGGTTTTCGATGAAAGTGTTAAAAAGTCTAATATTGCATCATGATTACTGTTTTAAAGTATTTTCATGTTTGATTTATATTGAATTGTATTTAGAAAACGGAGGAAACCGAATGACCCAGCGAAAAAACTCAAGAGTTTGGACAGGCGACTCTACTCCTTGAAATTGAAACCATGCCACTTAACACAATGACAGACCCTGTGATTTCATGCGCATGAATTACCTACTAGACCATTCCCCCCAGCCCCACCCCATATCGAATAAAAGTATGACTTATTTCAAATATGATATTTACATATAAAGAAAGTAGAGAGACTTCAATCTTACTAGAAAAATACTAGATTACCTGAAATGAAATGGGGTTTAAAGACAACGTCCTACTGGTCAGCTCCGACTGGTCTAATGCATTGTGCTAAGTGAAAATGTTTGTCTGGGCAGCGACACTATGGCCTACTCTCATACTGAATTCAAACTGCCAAGAGAACTTTTATGTGTACGCCAATGTGTACATTGGATCTCAGGGGAAACCACTCTGCAAAATCAAGATGAGCTTTCTCGGTCAACCCCAAGAGATAACCTGTGGCCTCCATGCTAGTGTGCCAGCACCTAATTTACTCAGTCACCATGGCCGTCTTCTAATGTGACAAACAAGGATTATTAAGATAGACTTTTACGGCTTGGTAGTTCCTTGGGATTAAAACTTTTGATACATATAGATACATTAGTTTCAATTTCATATCACACAGTTTGTATATATGGTAAGGTAGCTTTAATCGTAAATTACATATCATGTATTTATTTTTTCAGTTTCAATATTGGATGTATATGCAAATCATCCAGAAAAAGATCATGTAATAACAAAAGAAATTATAAAAGAAAAAAAGGAAGAAGAAATGGCTGGAAAAAATGACGATAGAGCAGCTTTTTCTTGGTGGGTAACTATTCAATTCTAATAGAAAAGATTGTTATGCTATTTTGAAATCTAAAATTCAGTTTAGTATAGTAAAACTGTACACGTCATGTATGAGCAGAGACAGAATCTTAGTTATATGTAGATATCACTGTCTCATCTGTGGCAAAGCAAACCAACACATGAAACAAAACAAATGTAATTAAAGTAACATTTTTTTAATTAATCAAAACTGTCTAGTCAATTTAAGCCAACTAATACATTGCCATTTTTTTTTCAGTTACCCACCTCGGAAGATCAAGTTGGAAAGGGCTATTGATATTGTGGAGACGTTTTCTCACAGATCTTGCTTATCAGACAAAGACTATGTAAGTACCATGCATATTTGCTTTTTAAATCAGGAACTGGTTCTATACACTTGGTGGGGGGGTTGGATGGACGTTAAACCCCATTTCTCTCTCTCTCTCCTAAATATTGAGATTTTTGTTTACTTTTAAACTGCATATATTCAAGGTATCAGGAGCTTTTTATGGCTCCCGTACAATTTTATAAACATGAAGGACTGTACCTTTTGAATATTAAGCCATCAAATTATTTTATAATTTTGAAAATGAAATGAAATGGGGTTTAACATCCTACTGTTTTGCTCATAAATTGGGCTAATGAAGACGGGCATACGCCATACAGTGTGCTATGAAGGGAATTTTGCCCGGGCAGCGGCGCTACAGCCTACTCTTATATCGAATTCCAATTGCCAAGGAATCTTTTATGTGCACGCCAATGTGTACACGGGACCTCGGTTTTTCGTCCCATCCGAACGACTAGACAGCTGTCCTTGTCAGGTCCTCCGTCCTGTATCACTGACAAGGAGAAAACACGCAAAATGTAAGTAACATATATATTTGTATTTTTAATCAGGAAGTACTTCTATACACTTGCTTGGTAATCTAGTTATTCTTCTTGGGGCAATGCCTAGGACTCTGCTGTTTCAAGTACTTGGCATGCTTTATTTTTGCCAATCACATCCATTGATTTCCTTCAAGTTGCGATAGGCCCTACATGTATGTGTATTTTTACAGTAAATAGCAGTAAAATAATGATGGACAGTATTTTACTTTCAAATAGATTTCAGTAGATTTTAAAGGGTAATATCCAATTTGTTGTCAATGGAAATAAAATAAGAATGGGTCCAAAAATAATTAGACATTACCCAAAGTTGAAACCAAATAGAGACTCGGTCTCGATGTGGCAAAATAAATTGTTTATTTAAACGTTGTGAACCATAGAAAGTATTCTTATCTCCTACTTTTTATTTTTTAGGCTGGAACACCATTGAAAGAGTATTTGCTGTATGATAACAACAAGAAAACCCAAGCATCAATTTATTTTATACTTCTGGGAAAGAATGCATTTGACCCAATTTTTAAATATTTATTTTTTGTTATTAATGTTAAATTTTCTTCCAAAACACAATTAGATTTTAATTCTCTTCAGAAATGTATGTATAATATAGCAAGTAAAGTGGCATATAAATCACTTAGAATTTGGTCAGAAATCATAAAGTATTTAATAGGCATTACTAGAAACCAAATGTAGATCAAATACACCCAGAATTACAAAAAACCTTGACCTACATAAAGGTGACTTTCCCTTGCTTATGAAATGAAATACGGTTTAGTATCCTACTTTTCTGTGTTCTTAGAGTGATTCTGCCCTACACCCTACTCTTATATCAAATATTTCAACTGTCAAGGGTTCTTTAACGGGAACCCAGGGGGGGGGGGGGGCAATGATTAACACGCACACATTTGATCAGGAAGTCTGTCATTGAGTCAAATAATTCAATTGTCAAGGCTTCTTCTAAGTGAACGCAGTGGGGATGGTTTCGATTCCGGGAATGGGGGAGGGGGTGGTGGATGGCCGAATGGTAAGCATGTGCGTGCGGTATCATACGGCCTGTCATTGAGTCAACTGGCGTGGTTTCGAATCCCCGGTTGTACGTGACAAGGAGTAGGGTCGCCTGTCCAATCTTGTGGGTTTTCTCCGGGACCTCCGGTTTCCTCCCACTGCTAAAGACCCCTATGCGGAACGAATTATTGAAATAAAATTAAACCATATGTTAATCCCGAAATGACCTAGTTTGTGTCAAGTGGACGTTAAACCCCATTTCTCTCTCTCTCTCTTTCGATTCCGGGCTTGTACCCAATTATCCCTTGCCATATCCAACACTACTGACAAGTGGGAACTATGCCGGAAAATCCAGTTGAAATTTCTCGGCCAACACATTATACTCACTGAACCACTGTGGCTTATGACTTGTGATTGTATATAAATTTTTTGTACATATGATATTTTTTTATTTCAATCCTGTAATCTTGATGCTTTGCTTCTTTTATTTACAAAATATTCATTTTGTTTGGGGTTTTTTAATGAGGAAAAGGTTTTACATCATTTTATTACTCCTGCAAAATAGTGCATTTTTCTGTTGTTAGTTTTCTGTGTATATTAGTTATTTCTATATGTCTCACAAATCACTTGTAGTGTGATTTTGTAGCACTTTTCAGTTTTTGAAATTGTTTCAATTTAGTGCATAATTAATCTTAGTGCTTGGTTTGGATGTTATTAAATTTAGATATTATTTGAATTATATATTTTGGAGTATGGGGTAGGGATACTGTGTACATATCTTTATATTCTCAGTTCTTGTTTTGGGGTAAAGAACAATTTATATAGCTATTTTATATTTTGTGATAGGTAAAGTGTGTGGGGTTAAGAACAATTTAAATAGCTATGTTATATTTTGTGATGGGTAAAGTGGGGTGTGTGTGTGTGTTGGGGGGGGGGGTCATTATATATAACACAATATAATTAGTATTAGAATTCTCTGTTTTTCTGTTAACATTTCAAATATCTATTTAGTTTTGATGTATTAATTTACTTTTTCCTATGATTTTATGAATAAATAATAATCTTACAAAAACAAAAACAAATTTTGTTTCCTTCTTTTATCAAACTTTACAGGTCTAACAGAGCATAAAAAGGTTGCTATACTGTATATAAATTGGGGGAAAACACAACACAAGTTTTTGTGGATGGTTATACACAAGTTTGTAAGAAACCACACAAGTTTCAGAAATTTCAACACAAGTTTCACACAAGTTTCAACACAAGTTTGTTTTGTTTGATAAATTTTAACACAAGTTTTGTGTTGAAAACAACACAAGTTTGTGTTGTTTCAACACTAGTATTTTTTCAGTGTTATATTTTCACGAATGCGTAGCATGAGTGAAAATATAAACCTTTTCTTGCTTAGAGATGAAATAAAATATGTTATTCACAACAAAACGACAAATGTTCTATTTATTTTATGATTTTACAATCAGTTTAGGTAAAAACAACTAGCCAGTGGAATAACACTTTTATTTCACTGATAAAACGCGGTATTCCACTACTGATCATAAAATAAAGATCTGTATTTTAGTCAGATTGAGCGCGCTATAACTGATATAAGAGATATTCTCATACTAGCATATATCATCATAATTAATTTAGCGACGAAATCTTAATTATCTAATGTTAACGGCTTTAATTATTTAATTTACCATGCGTTCTCTTTTTATTTAATTCTTTATTTTTTTAGGACGCAATGTTCAAGAATAAAATATTTAGAATTTTGTTAATACTGGTGTCTGTATATGTGGTTGTGTTTTATTATAAAGTGTTGCCGGAATTATGGGGAAATCCTTTACGTGTGACAAAAAACAATTCTGTTTTGGATAATGACATCCCATATGACGTAATAGATGCCTACTATCAAAGTAACTATGGATCATGTCAGCATTCAGTAGTTAGAGAAAACAAGATAAATTGTAAAAAGCTTATTAAGAATGAAACCATGATGACACAAATTATACCCGTTAATGAAAGCAGGATTTGTAATTTAACTAAAATTACAGAAAATTGTCAATTATTTCGCCATATTAACGGATATGACGATAAAGTTATTACAAAACTGGAAGAAGATTTTCCTTTAGCTTTTGGGATTCGTCTACATAATTCTCCGGAACAAATAGAACAAATTTTAAGAATTATTTATCGTCCACATAATTTTTATTGTATACATGTTGATACTGGCAGTGATATTCACATATTTAATTCTTTAAAAGCAGTCGCCCGATGCTTTGAGAATGTGGTGGTTTTATCTAAAATACGAACATTGTATTCATCTATTAGACTTGTAGAAGCTGATTTATTGTGTATGAAAGAAGCGTTAAAATCGTCAATTCAATGGAAATATTTTCTCAACATGGCAGGGGAAGAAGTGCCGCTTAAAACTAATCTTGAAATAGTTCAAATTTGCCAGTTGCTACAAGGAAGAAATGATATTGAATCGGAACCAGCAACCCCTTTCGCCATAGCCCGAATAAAGTGGGAATTTAATGTCACTGAATTCCAAATAATAAAAACAAATGTTCTAAAAAAGCCATTTACAGGAAATTTTCTACTAAGGAAAGGGTGTGCTTATGGGACATTTGCTAGAAAATTTGTTCAGTTTGTTTTCAAGAACGACAAAGCAAATGATTTGTTCGAGTTTTTAAAAGATACATACGCCCCTGAAGAGGCATTTTTCAATACGCTAAACACGGTTGATGGTGCGCCGGGTGGTTATAATATTACCATTAAACATTTCAACAGAGATTTCCTATCACGCACAGTATTATGGAGCTGGGGCGAGCCTATCAATTGTCCTGGGGAATTTCGTAGGGCTGTTTGTGTATTTAACAATAAGGCACTGCCGTGGCTGGTGAAACAACCCGAGATGATCGTCAATAAAATGGATGGGAATTATGATCAAGTGGTTATAGACTGTATGGAAGAATATCTACGTAAC